CCCCTGCCACCCCATTGGGAGAACTGGACTGAGTTCTAAGCTGTTGGCTTCAGCATGGCCCAGCCCAGGTATCATGGGAATTGGTAGAGAAAATTAACGAATGCAGGATCTCTGCCAGTCTATTTCTCTCTATCTTTCAAATAAAAATGAAAAATAAATAAAAAATTTAAAAGAGAGAAAACAGTTTTTAATTTAACAGTTTGGAGACGATACAGCTCCTAGAAATGACAAGGCCAATGCAGTATAGTTTAATGGCTACAAAGTTCAATAGAAAAGTAGGACATGTAAACGTGACAAGGTCAAGCGTTAGGGAAGCAGTGCTATGTAATAGAGGCTTCCTCATTTGGGGACCAAAATTCATGTTTTACGAGATTTTGTTATAAAGTCACAAAATAATTGAAGGAAAATAATCTAGTACAATAGTAGACAGTAAGACTTATTTAAAAGGAGGTTCTTGCTATCACTTAATTTCCTCCCCATGCATTTTAGAAGACAGCTCCACGAGCGGCCATCATGGCACCTATAGAAAGCTAGTATATCATACATCTCAGAGTAGTCAATAAGCCAAAATGGAAAAGCAATCTACACATCAAGTGTTTGTTCATTACTTCCTTACAATTCCTTCATTTGATTCAAATTTACTAAGCACTATTTGAATATTAGCACAATGAGAAGAAATGCTAGGAATAGTTATCAGTAATGGCAATTAACTTTAAACAAGTTCTTACTATAGCTAGACATTATTTCAACAGTTTTTAATTAACTCATAATCTGTCAAAACAACTGTCTGAGGCAGGTTCTTTTACTGTTCTCATTTGATACATGAGGATACTGAAACAGGAATTTGAATTACAAATTATAAATTACAGCTCATTTGAATTACAAATAACAGTTAATGGTTAAGTACAAACCTAGACATTTTGGCTACAGTGAAATTTTTTTTTTTTTTTTGAAGGCAGAGTTAGAGACAGAGACAGAGTGAAAGGTCTTCCTTCCGCTGGTTCAACCCCCAGATGGCTGTTACAGCCGGTGCGCTGCGTGGATCCGAAGCTAGGAGCCAGGTGCTTCTCCTGGTCTCCCATGCGGGTACAGGGCCCAAGCACTTGGGCCATCCTCCACTGCACTCCCTGGCCACAGCAGAGAGCTCGACTGGAAGAGGAGCAACCGGGACAGAACCAGTGCCCCAACCGGGACTAGAACCCAGGGTGCCAGCGCCACAGGCGGAGGATTAGCTAGTGAGCCACTTCACTGGCCTACAGTAAAATTATTTAACATACTTCACTATCTCTTGGGGCTGGCACTGTGGTGTAGCAGGTAAAGCTGCCACCTGCAGTGCCAGCATCCCATAAGGGCGCCGGTTCAAGTCCCAGCTGCTCCATTTCCGATCCAGCTCTCTGCTATGACCTGGGAAAACAGTAGAAGATGGCCCAGGTCCTTGGGCCCCTGCACTCGTGTGGGAGACCCAGAAGAAGCTCCTGGCTCCTGGCTTCGGATCCGCACAGCTCCAGCCATTGAAGCCAACTGGGGAGTGAACCAGCGGATGGAAGAACTCTCTCTCTCTCTCCCTCTCTCTCTCTCTGCCTCTCCTTCTCTGTGTAATTCCTTCAAATAAATTTTAAAAAAACATATTTCACTATGTCTAGAAAGAGAATTTTTTGCCAAATGAACAATTAACCTCAAAAAAACCTTAAAAGGTTCTATCCTGTCCATGCATTAAGCTTAGACAAAATATAAAGTACTCTTTTGTATCATATATACTTTAAAATATCAAAACTATCAGAAATCTAGATTTCTCAAGGTTATTTTATCTTCCCATTATTTTCAGATGTATAAGTGTTCATCTTAGCAAAAGTTCAGAAATTCCAAAACTGGATTAAATGGAGGTATCTGACTTTAAGGAGTCTACATCTTAACTGGGGAAGCAGGAGGTGTACACACAGGGTCTTCAAAAAGTCCATGGAGGGGCTGGCACTGTGGCATAGCGGGCTAAACCTCTACCTGCAGCACAAGCATCCCATATGGGCACTAGTTTGTGTCTCAGCTGCTCCTCTTCCTATCTAGCTCTATGCTTATAGCCTGGGAAAGCAATAGAGGATGGTCCAAGTGTTTTGGCTCCTGTACCCGCGTGTGAGACTTAGAAAAATATCCTGGCTCAGACTTGCCCAGCTCCAGCCATTGCAGCCATTTGGGGAATGAACCAGCTGATAGAAGACCTTTCTCTCTGTCTTTCCCTCTCTCTCTGAATTCTGCCTCTCAAATAAATCTTTTTTTTTAAAAATAAAGTCCATGGAAAACGTGTATATTTTTAAATATTTATTTATTTGAAAGGAAGAGTCACAAAGAGATAGAGAAAGGATATATATATATATATATATATATAGAGAGAGAGAGAGAGAGAGAGAGAGAGAGAGAGAGAGATCTTTCATTTGTTAGTTTACTCCTCAGATGGCCTCAATAGCCAGTGCAGGGCCAGGCCAAAGCCAGGAGCCAGGAGCTTCATTCAGATCTCGCATATGGGTGCAGGGGCCCAAGCACTTGGGCCATCTTCTACTGCTTACCCAGGCCACAGCAGAGAGCTGGATCAGAAGAGGAGAAGCTGGGACTAGAACCACGCCCATTTGGGATGCCAGTGCTGCAAGCCAGGGCTTTAACCTGCTGCGCCACAGCACTGGCCCCCTGCTAATTCTTTTTTATAGTCCCTTAATAACCACATCCTTTTTCAAATTTATTTATTTATTTATTTGAAAAACAGTTACCAAGAAAAAAGGAGAGAGCAATGACTGCAGCTGCACCACTTTGAGGCCAGGAGCCAGGAACATTTTCTGGGTCTCCCATGTACCCACTTGGGCCATCCTCTACTGCTTTCTTAGGCACATTAGCAGGGAGCTGGATAGGAAGTGAAGCAGCAGGGATTCGGACTGGTGTCCATATTGGATGCCGACACCACAGATGGTGTCGGCTTAAAGTTTAAGCCTCTACTTGAACACTTTCCTTTTTTTTTAACGTCTATTTAATAAATATAAATTTCCAAAGTACATCTTATGGATTACAGTGGCTTTTCCCCCCCATAACTTCCCTCCCACCCACAACCCTCCCATCTCCCGCTCCCTCTCCCATTCCATTCACATCAAGATTCATTTTCAATTATCTTTATCAGAAGATCAATTTAGTATATATTAAGTAAAGATTTCAATAGTTTGCACCCACAAAGAAACACAAAGTGTAAAGTACTGTTTAAATACTAGTTGTAGCATTAATTCACATTGGACAACACATTAAGGACAGAGATCCTACATGGGGAGTAAGTGCACAGTGACTCCTGTTGTTGACTTAACAAATTGACACTCTTGTTTATGGTGTCAGTAATCACCCTAGGCTCTTATGAATTGCCAAAGCTATGGAAGCCTTTTGAGTTCGCCAACTCCGATCTTATTTAGACAAGGTCATAGTCAAAGTGGAAGTTCTCTCCTCCCTTCAGAGAAAGGTACCTCCTTCTTTGATGGCCCATTACTTGAACACTTCCAAATGAGAGGTAGATTACTATCTTAGAGGACTTGAGATGCCCTGTGCCACTTTATCTAATCAAGCCAATTCTGGAATAGGGCCAAGATAGAGAAAAAGAGTTATAAAACATCAGTTTTCCACAATTCAATCTTCTAAATCAAAATAATCAAAATATTCTATAAGCTCCTTCATTGGAAATTAAACATAGAAAAGTATCTGCAGAGTGGTAGAGTAGACATCTGTTGCTCTTGTCACTTGAGCATCTTTTTTTCTCTATTCTGACTTTGCTTGTGGTGGTGTGGGGTAGAGCTGACACACCTTTCACCCCCATTAGCTATGTGTTATTTGTGAATCCAATAATATCTCGGCTCTGGAGTGGCTCTGTGAATGTAAAATTATGATTGGTTAGGATTGGATTCATGGTTAAAAACTAAGGCAATTAGGGGCCAGCACTGTGGTGCAGCGGGTTAACACCCTGGCCTGGGCACCGGTATCCCATGTGGGTGCTGGTTCAAGGCCCAGCTGCTCCGCTTCCAGTCCAGCTCTCTGCTGTGGCCTGGGAGAGCAGTGGAGGGTGGCCCAGATCCTTGGGCCCCTGCACCTGCATGGGAGACCCGGAGGAAGCTCCTGGCTCCTGGCTTTGGATTGCTACAGCTCCAGCCATTGTGGCCAGTTAGGGAGTGGGCCATCGGATGGAAGACTTCTCTCTCTCTCTCTCTCTCTCTCTCTCTCTCTCTGCCTCTCCTCTCTCTGTGTAGCTATCTATGGTTTTCAAATAAATAAATAAATCTTTAAAAAAGAAAAGCTAAGGCAATTAGCAATAATCTTGTTTATTCTACTAAGATCCAGAAAGAACAACAGCCTCTATAAACTCAGAGCTCCTACAAGTGAGGCTGAAATTACTGCATCCATTTTATCATCATAAACCTATCTGAATCTGTCAAAATGGAGCCAAATCAGAAAAAACGAAACCTAGAAACAGAGATTGAGTCCTCACAACATTAAATATCTACGTGAAACTATACCTAAATCAGATTTGCTTTTTTAAAATCTTGAACCAGTTTGGATTATGTTTTTATTTTCTCTTTTATCCTAAAGAGTGCTGACACAGATGATAACAGACAAATCCTATAAACAGAAAATTAGGTCAACTTCTCAGGACTTATCAATTATTATGCAAAATTATACAATTTGGCTATATAAATAACCAACTATAGATACTAAATTTTAAAAATGAATCTGCCACATTTTAACATAGCATTTCACTTTCAACATCACTTTGTACTGTCTTGTTTTTAGACAAAAATCAATATTCTATCATTGAGAAATATTTTACCATATAAAAAATAAATAACTTTATAAAATTTTAAAGACAAGAATAGGCAACTCAGAAAATAAAAGTTCTCATTGCATTGTGTCAGAGTTATTTAAAAATACAGAAAGTAAACACACAAATACACTAATGAATGATGCTGAAGCCATGTAAAGACTCTTACTTGAAGCTGGAGAGTATGCCGAAGAATTGTTTCTTCTAAGGCATGGATCCACTTCTCTCGCTCATCTGCATCACGAGCTGAAGTGAAAGATCATAATTTTATAATTATAAAATTTAAATTGTGTAATTTTATAATTTATAAAGTTTAATATCTACAATATGTCTCCATATTTGAAAGTAAACTTTAACAGTGATATTAAAAGGTGTTTAGTATACAATTTCTTTTTTTTTTTTTTTTTTTTAATTCTTGACAGGCAGAGTGGACAGTGAGAGACAGAGACAGAGAGAGAAAGGTCTTCCTTTGCCGTTGGTTCACCCTCCAATGGCCGCCGCTGCGGCCGGCGCACCGCACTGATCCGATGGCAGGAGCCAGGAGCCAGGTGCTTTTCCTGGTCTCCCATGGGGTGCAGGGCCCAAGCACCTGGGCCATCCTCCACTGCACTCCCTGGCCATAGCAGAGAGCTGGCCTGGAAAAGGGGCAACCGGGACAGAATCCGGCGCCCCGACCGGGACTAGAACCCGGTGTGCCGGCGCCGCAAGGTGGAGGATTAGCCTATTGAGCCACGGCGCCGGCCTAGTATACAATTTCTTTTATAAAAAATTATTTTTTTTTATTTGAAAGAGAGAGAAAGGAGGAGACAGAGAGAGAAAGAGATCTTCCACTCACTGTTTCACTCCCCAGATGGCCACAAAAGCCAGGGCAGGGGCAGGGCCAGGCCAAAGCCAGGAGCCAAGATCTTCATCCAGGTCTCCCATATAGGTGGCAGGGCCCAAACACTTGGGCCATCTTCTGCTGCTTTTCTTAGGCCATTAGAAGGGAGCTGGATCAGAAGTGGAGCAGCCAGGATATTAACTGGCACCCATATGGGATGCCAGTATCACTGGTGGTGGCTTTACCTGCTACACCACAATGCCAGCCCCCTAGTTGTGCCATTTCTTACTAGATTCATCTAGATCCATCCTTATCTAAGTACCTAATATCTAAAAAGATCTTATATCTAAGTAAATACACAATCTACTGGCAATAATTTGTAACAAACAAATTTGTGGGTTTTTTTAAAGATTTATTTTATTATTTATTTGAAAGAGTTACACAGAGCGAGGAAAGGCAGAGAGAGAGAGGTCTTCCATCCGCTGGTTCACTTCCCCAGTTGGCTGCAATGGCTGGAGCTGTGCCAATCTGAAGCCAGGCGCCCAGAGCTTCTTCCAGGAATCCCAAGGACTTGGGACATCACTACTGCTTTCCCAGGCCATAGCAGAGAACTGGATCAGAAGTAGAGCAGCCGGGACTCAAACCGGTACCCATCTGGGATGCTGGCACTGCAGGCAGCAGCTTTATCCACTAAGCCACAATGCTGGCCCCCAAATTTGTGTTTAATTATAGCAGGCTAAATAGGTCAGACCAACTTTCTTTTTTTTTTTTTTTTTTTGGACAGGCAGAGTTAGATAGAAAGGTCTTCCTTTTTCCATTGGTTCACCCTCCAAATGGCTGCTGCGGCTGGCGTGCTGTGCCAATCCGAATCCAGGAGCCAGGTGCTTCCTCCTGGTCTCCCATGTGGGTGCAGGGCCCAAGCACTTGGGCCATCCTCCACTGCCTTCCCAGGGTACAGCAGAGAGCTGGACTGGAAGAGGAGCAACCGGAACAGAATCCAGCACCCCAACCGGGACTAGAACCCAGGGTGCTGGCACCGCAGGCAGAGGATTAGCCAAGTAAGCCAAGTTCTGGCCAAGACCAACTTTCTACTGAGAACAACTAGAAAAGTTGTACTGATTATTAGAAAGCAACTGGTCAAACACATCCGAAACCAACAAAGTTGTAAAGAATTACCAGGCCAAGATCTGGAAGAAGATAAACATCTAGAAGACAAGCCTAGTATTAGCATACTTTTCTCCTGCAGGCATGATAAATTCCAGGAGAGGTGTTGTAGACCGGAAAGCACACTTAAAAGCCTGGGCAGTATATTTAGGAAGAGCATCTATAAGTACCTTAGTCTCTGTTCAGACTTACTGTGAAAATAAATCTGCTCTAAAAAAGAAAATCTTTTTTTTAAAAATAGGTTTTTTTAGGTCACTGGACCCAAAACAAATTCACCTTGGGATTAAGGGTAAATCAGAATTAAAACATTGCTTGGTCATCTGGGTGGCCCAGAAAAATATTGATACTTGAAATGAATTAAAACAATCCCAGATTGTTAGTAACTCCTGGCATCTTAGTAGCTAAAACAAATAAAATTTCATCATCTATTCTAATTTCTCTAAGCAATTTTTCAAATACAATGTTAGTATATAAGCTAATACAATCAAATACAATAAGTAGAAATACCTTTAAGACAAAGCCACACATAAATGAAAAGCAAAAGATAATAGAAACAGATCAATAGGCACTCCAGATAATTCTGTAGCAGTATTTACTTTTAATTTTTTGCTGTGTCTTTCATTTAGATTTTTAAAAATCTTCAAATTTTTCAAATATAATTGAAAAAGATAATAGTCAAAATTAAGAACTCAATGGATGAGTTCATGGGAGACTTCTGTAAAATACTTAAGGAAGAAATACCAATTTACAATACAAAGTATTCCAGAGAATAGAAAATGGAGCAGTAACTCTTTTGCAAGACCAGAAAAACTCTGACACCAGCCTTACAAGATATTATGAAAGGAGAGTTATAGGTACATATAACTCAATGATAGACATGTAAAAGTCCTATAGAAAACATTAACAGGAGCTGGCATTGCAGAGCAGCAGATTAAGCTGCAAGTTCGGATGCCCACATCCCACATCAGAGTGTCTGGTTCAAGTCCTGGATACTCCACACTTCCAATCCAGATTCTGATAATGCAACTGGGTGGCAGCAACTGGGTTCTTGCCATACAGGTGGGAAACCTGGAAGGAGGGCCTGGCTCCTGGCTTCGGAATGGCCTAGTCCTAGCTGTCACCGGTATCTGGGGAGTGAATCAGAAGGTGAAAGATAAAAGATGAAAGATCTCTTTCCCCAGCTCCCTTCTCTCTATCTTTCTATCTGCCACAAGACTTTTCAGATAAGTAACTCTTTGGGGGCCGGCGCTGTGGCGCAGGTTAATACTCTGCCTGTGGCTCTGGCATCCCATATGGGCGCCGGTTCTAGTCCGGTTGCTCCTCTTCTGATCCAGCTCTCAGCTATGGCCTGGGAAAGCAGTGGAGGATGGCCCAAGTGCTTGGGCCCCTGCATCCGCATGGGAGACCAGGAGGAAGCTCCTGGCTTCAGATCAGCGTAGTTCTGGCTGTTGTGGCCATTGGGGGAGTGAACCAGCAGAAGGAGGACCTTTCTCTCTGTCTCTCCTTCTCACTGTCTGTAACTCTACCTTTCAAATAAAAAAAAAATCTTAAAAAAATAAATAACTCTTTGTAAAAAATTAATATATCTTATCTGCTATAGTTTGGATATTCGTGATATTCATTTGGGTGTCCCCCTCAAAGGCTCAAGTCTTTTTCAAAAAAAAATTATTTATTTATTTAAAATACAGAGTTACAGAGAGAACAAGAAAAGGATAAACAGAGAGCAAGATCTTCCATCCACTGGTTCACTCCCTAAATGGCTACAACAGCTGGAGCTGGGCCAGTACGAAGACAGGAGCCAGGAGCTTCCTCCGAGTCTCCCACATGGGGCAAGGGCCCAAGTACTTGGGCCATCCACTGCTGCTTTCCCAGGCATGTTAGCAGGGAGCTGGTTGGGAAGAGGAACAGCCAGGCCACCAACTAGCGTCCATAGAGATGTGAGTGCTGTAGGCAGTGGCTTAATCCTCTATGCCACATGGCCAGCCCCAGCCCCCAAAGTCTTATGTTAACAGATTAAGGGTAGAAACAATACAATTGTGATGTCTAAAGACAACACTTTTGGGAAGTAATTTGATTGGATTAAGTTGCTGGGTGGTTTTGTGAAGAGAGAGGGACATGGAGGAAGAGCACACTTCTTGTCTCTGCTTCTTGGTTTGCCATGTGATACTTCATGTGCACATTTCTCACCTTCCACTGCCCTCATCAGACAACCAGACTAACGCAGGCACCCAACCTTGGGATGAGAACCTCTAAAACCATGAACCAAAATAAACATTCCTCCTGTATAAATTAGTTTCTCTGAGGTATTTACAATATTGTGATGAAGTGTTCACTAATACAATATCCAAGCTGGGTTTATTCAAGAAATACAAGGTTGGTTGAATATGTGAGAAACAATCAACATCCAACAACATGAGAACATATATGAACAATGTCATTCACACAGCAATTTTTCTAATTGCAAAAACTACAAACACCCTAAATATCCATACAGAGGACAATGACTGAGTAAAACATGGAGTATTATGAAGATATAAGAATAAGAAAAATAGCTTTAGAATGATTTGGACTGATTTCCAAATACACTTTTAAATGAAAAAAGCAGTGTGCTACCTTTAGTGTAAGAAAGAAAACAGGGGTTGGTGCTGTGGCATAACTGTTTAAGCCGCTGCCTATGACGCTGGCATCCCATATGGGCACTGGTTTGAATCCCAGCTGCTCCAGTTCGGATCCAGCTACCTGCTAATGTGCCTGGGAAAGCAGTGATAGCTCAAGTACTTGAGCCCCTGCACCCATGTGAGAGATCCAGGCTCCTGGCTTCAGCCTGGTCCAGACCTGGCCTTTGCAGCCATTTAAGGAGTGAACCAGCAGATGAAAGATTTCTCTGTTTCTTCTCTCCCTCTCTCTATAACTCTGCTTTTCAAATAAATAAATAAGTAAAATCTTTCAGAAGGAGAAGAGAGAGGCCGGCACTGCGGCACAGTAGGCTAATCTTCCGCCTGTGGCGCTGGCATCCCATATGTGTGCCAGTTCTAGTCCCAGCTGCTCCTCTTCCAATCTAGCTCTCTGCTGTGGCCTGTGAAAGCAGTAGAAGATAGCCCATGTCCTTGGGCCCCTGCACCCATGTGGGAAACCAGGAAGAAGCACCTGGCTCCTGCCTTTGGATCAGCACAACTCCGGCCGTTATGGCCATTTGGGGAGTGAACCAACGGAAGGAAGACCTTTCTCTCTCTCTCTCTCTCACTCACTCTACCTCTCAAAT